CAGATTTTTTGGTCTCTGAAGTGTAGCTTAGATCCTAATATGTGAAAAGTACTCTAGCACTGAATGTCTACTGAGAACTGAGAAGCTTGTTAGACTGGTCAACCAGGCTTCTGCATTGTTAGCAGTGCAGCATGATTCATGAAGCATGGATGTTTGCTTTCACTAAGGGTTAAAGATATTTTCACGTAGAAAAAATCCATTAATTTTTCAAATATGTATTTTAGTCTTTCTCTTTTTCATGAGATATATGTTCTTTTGTTGTTGAAAAGCAAACACTTTTCAGCTGTCAAATGACTGAATTCTGAAATGGTTTTCTCCATCATTAAAATCAATATGAATAAAAACCTCAGTGTTGCACTGATACAATTATGAACCCATTCATCCACCCATTTTCATCCGCTTATCCGTTACCGGGTCGCGGGGGCAGCAGTGTCCATGACTGCCACCCAAATCACACTGCACCGTACTAACCCCCCTGAACCTTCCTGCGGGTGGTGAGTCCACTGCCCAGGAGGTGAACCCTGGGGTTTCACACCACAATTATGAACCCATTTGATGAAAGTTTCATGGATACCATGGATAAAAACAAAACTACAATTTTATGTTTTGTTTTTTTTTGTTTTGTTTTTTTTTAAATAACACAGACAGAGATTTTGAACCGCAATGTGATGAGGAAGATGATGAAGAGACAATTGAGGTGGAGGAGCAGCAGGAGGGCAATGATGCTGAGAGCCATCGGAGGGAGATAGAGCTACTGAAGGAGGAGGGCTTGCTACCCCTGGATCAGTTACTCAGCACCCTCAAACTTCTACAGGTATCATAAAGCTGCCAGTATTTGACTTGTTATTTATCACTAATGTGCCACTGAGTTGATATGAAATTTTTCCCAATGTAAATAGCTCTTTTTGCAAAACATAGATGGATATGGAAATGGAATTGTATGGTTTAGTGTTCATTATCATCCTTTTAGCACATTCTGACACATTTAATAACATCAGTGTGTGTATTTACACAGTGGGAACTACCACATATTTAATAACTATTATCAGCTTAAGGGTATTTAGGTGTATTTTCTTTATTGTGATGTGAATAATTTGTGTAGCCATTCCAATGATTGAGTTGGTAAAACTGGCATTTCTCACGTGTACTAAATATGATTTCCACAAATGTTTCATATTTTGAGCTAGTTTACTTGCGTTGCAGAAATATGACCAATATGCTGAGTTTAAAATAAAATTGATCTTTTTGGATAATGTCCCATTAATGATTTGATTTTTGTATTTTACAACACGTGTGGTTGCATTTGATGTATTCAATAAATCATTATGTTGCACAGGATGCTGGCTCAGAGGAGGAATCCTCTGGTGAAACATTGTCTTCTGTGGAGGAGGAGGAGGAGGAAGAAGATGGTTAGGACACTGCTAATGAAGAGGATGGTAAGATAACGCTGCAAATTAAAATGTTAATTCGTTTGTTTTCTTAAAATGCTTGATTAAAAATGATATCTAATATTATCATCAAGTATTTAATGTCTAACTTAAATTCATTTTAGCTAATGATGAAGAGGACACAATAGCAGCTCAGGAGAAGATTGAGGGAAATGTAGATCATGGAGAAGAACTGGATGACCTGGCCAAAGAAGGTTGGTTCTTTTGTTTTACTGTTGCACACTGAAATATAATACAGTTGATATCGAGTGAACTCTCTAATTACTTTTAGTTTTCCAAAATACGTATTCTTTCATTAACTTCATTATTTTGGTTGACACTATTGGTAGAACATGTAGAGACAGCCAAAGCTCACAGAGATCCATCAAGTGTAAAATCTCATGACCCATGTCATTAACTGTTGGTATAATTTATTGCATTTGAATGACATGTGAGTGACAAATGTAATTGTCCTCACAGTTTCCTTGTTAATTTCATGAAAAAAAAGAAAACTCTTTTACCTGAAATTTCCCACTCATTCGCTAGGCAACCTGAGTATTGAGGAGCTGTTGGAGAGATACAAAGGAGCTTTTGCCCCAGACTTTGAAGTACCCTCAGAATCTGGCTCCAAGGCCAGTCTTGATTCTGAGGCATCAGGAGATGAGGAAGTAGAGACTGAAGAAGATGAGAGCGACGTTGAAAGCAACACATCATCCTCAGGTATTTACACTGTCATTGGTAAACACTATCAGACTCAGTATTAGTTATTGTGTTTTTGTTTAGCTTTTTTTCAACACAGCTTATCCCAAATATTGCTTTCAGATTCTCCAGGAGACAGTGCGGAGGAGGACAATAGTGAGAAGGAGGAAGAGGAAAGCGCAGAGGAAGAGGATGAAGATAATTGTGAAGATGAAGGAATGGAACTTTTGCTGGAGGAAGGAGACTACAGTCCAGGGTCCTCTGGATCACGACCGAAGAAAGAAATCAGTCATATAGCTGCTACTGCAGAAAGCCTGCAACCAAAAGGCTACACTCTAGCTACAACAAAGGTCAGTTTTCAGAATTTTAGGATAAACAAACACTGTGCTTTACATCTTAATAGTCTGTGAATTTGTTGTGTACGGAAGCTCCTTGGCACTTCTGAATTAACATCTTCTGCTCAATAAAAGGTCAAGACCCCAATTCCATTCTTGCTTCATGGCACACTTCGAGAATACCAACACATTGGACTCGATTGGTTGGTCACCATGTATGAGAAAAAGTTAAATGGCATTCTGGCTGATGAGATGGGTTTGGGAAAGACCATCCAGACTATTGCACTACTGGCCCACCTCGCCTGTGAAAAAGGTAAATTGCTGTTCATGTATACTGCAGTTTGACAGTTAATTTAGTTGAAGATTACAGAGACTTTTTAAAAATCTTTTTAAATCAAATGAGAAAAACTTCCACTTGTGATCATATTTTTTTTCTGCTTTGTGTTTGTTGATGTGTAGGTAATTGGGGTCCACACCTCATCATAGTCCCCACCAGTGTGATGTTAAACTGGGAGATGGAATTAAAGCGCTGGTGTCCGGGATTTAAAATTCTCACATACTTTGGCAGCCAAAAGGAAAGAAAGCTAAAAAGACAGGTAATATGAAGTAGAATCTTTTTGTTCTAACTGTTTGCTAATTGTGAACAAGAGCTGCAGTTGGCAGCATTGCATGAAAATGCAAATGAAAAACAATTGTTTTTCCCCCTGATTTTTTAGGGATGGACCAAACCTAATGCTTTCCACGTGTGCATCACTTCATACAAGCTGGTGCTGCAAGATCATCAGGCCTTCAGACGCAAGTCTTGGCGATATCTGATCCTCGACGAGGCACAAAACATCAAAAACTTTAAGTCACAGCGCTGGCAGAGCTTGTTAAACTTCAACAGGTGAGTAAAGCTGTTAAGGTTTGCTTGTTAGAAACAGGTTCTTTTGTGTAATGGCTTTTCTACCACTTCATTAAAAACAGCATAAGTGTTCACATTTCCTATAGTTTAATCAGAAACATTTTGTTGGTGTTGGGAACAGACAGTAGCCCATTGTGGTTAAGCAAAAGTTATTTTTCTTTAGCTTCTTTTGATGTGTTTTTGACAGCAAAGATCCATTGGAATTCACTTTCGCTTTGCCATCCTCACCCCTAAAGAAAAACATTAAATGTAAGTTGATTTCTCCTCATTTCAGCCACCGACGACTACTGCTAACAGGAACTCCACTCCAGAACAGCCTGATGGAACTGTGGTCACTGATGCACTTCCTCATGCCTCATGTCTTCCAGTCCCATCGCGAGTTTAAAGAGTGGTTCTCTAACCCACTGACAGGAATGATAGAGGGTAGTCAGGAGTACAACGAAGGACTGGTCAAAAGGTTGCACAAGGTGCTGAGGCCCTTTCTGCTCAGGAGGATCAAGGCCGATGTAGAGAAGCAGATGCCCAAAAAGTATGAGCATGTAGTGCGCTGTCGCCTCTCCAAGAGACAACGATTCCTTTATGATGACTTCATGGCACAGGCTTCGTAAGTAATGTTTGTCTAAAAACCTTCCCCGCTCTGGGAATTATTGACCTGTATGGCTGACCTTTCACATCAACCAATAAAATACTTTTTTTTTTTAAACACGCTACATAATTGAGAACTTTGCACTATTCAATATGTTTTCAAATAATCCTAAAATTTCATCCAAGAATTACAGCTATGCAATTATTCAAAGTAGTATTCTGTCTTAGAATTTGACATCTTGTGTCAGTAAAAGGTGTATTGGGTCAAATGACTATATTTTTCTTTTTATATAAATATATATATTTGTACAATATTTGGTATATATAAAACTTGTTTTATTTTGTAGTAGATTTTAAATTGTAATAATCTGTGGATATTGTTATTTTGTATGTATATATTTTATATGATATCTATATATTTTTAAATACCTACATTAGGTAATAAACGGTCTGTATAACATGTCTGATTAATAGGACACGGGAAACACTGGCGAGTGGTCACTTCATGTCTGTGATCAACATCCTCATGCAACTGCGGAAAGTCTGCAACCACCCAAACCTGTTTGACCCTCGACCCATCCAGTCTCCATTCATTACACAGCCCATTGTTTTCAACACTGCCTCTCTGGTGCAGGATGCCCTTGACATCTCTCCTTTAAAGGTCAGCTTTGGTTTTGGTCAGAAATGTAATATTCAGTAAGACTGATCTTGGTCAGTTCATTTATGTAATTAATTCTCATTTAAATATATGCATTTCTATTCTCAGCGTTGCGACCTATCTGCATTTGTCCTTGTTGGGCTGGAGAGGTGTGTGACGCGTTACCAAGCGGATGTCTTCTTGCCACGACACAAGGTTAGCCGTCAGCTAATCCAGGAGATCATGGAGTCCCCTGAACCCCCACCAAGACCTAAACCAGTGCGCATGAAGGTCAACAGGTACACATTCAAAGTTATGCTCTTTAATTATGCAGGTACATTTTTTCCAATTCTTAAAGTTGTTTATATTATCATGTTTCCACTGATAATATATTTTTCTATGGTATGGTATATTTTTCTAGCATTTATTGTTTTCCATCAAAGTAACCACTATTCCGGGGCTGAGCATTTTCTTTGACAAAGTATGTACTGTAAGCAGAAATATTTAATGGCTGCACCTGTCTTTTTTTTAGGATGTTCCAGCCACTTCCTAAAAGTGATAACAAACCATGTGTGATGAACAAACCTACCTGCTCTGTACCTCCTGCTCAGACTGCTATTCCACCTACAATACCTGAAGCCTCCCCAAGTCCTGGACCTGCTCCTGTAGTTAAGCAAGGCAAGTAAACAAAACTGAGGCTGCTCTGTGTTCTTCCTTAACCCTAAATGAACACTAGTTTAAAGAATAATAAGAAATGAAACCAGTATTTTAAAATTACCATCTCTTCTTTCTATTCACAGTGGTGTGTTCTGTGACACCCACGCCTCCTCCCCGCCCCGCTGTTCAACCCAACACTCAGACAGCTGTAAGATCCACTGCGCCCAAGCCGGTGCTGACGGTACGACCTCCTGCTGCTCCCAGCACGGCAGGTATCCCTGCTCATCCAAGCCCAAACAACATGCCCCAAAGGGTTCTGCTTAGTCCAGATATGCAAGCTAGGCTGCCCTGTAAGTACAACCCTCTAAATGTTTTGAAGTGTCTTAGAAATCTATCATCCTAATTAAACATTGCTCAAAAAGACAGTATAACCTAATTTGGTGAATGGTTTGAACTTTTTTTAATTGGCACCTGCTCTTAGGCCTAACGAGTTTGCACTAAATACAGTGTGGCCTTTTTAAACCCAATTTCAAAGATAAGACTTGTTTAAACACATCCAACCTAATAACATACGTCTGTTATTTTCTCTTTATTCATGTATATAAATAATTGTTTTTGTTGGAAAACTTGTTTGCTTGCTTCTTTGCACACTTATTAGGGTGTCATAAACAATTTTAACTTATAATAATTTAATTAATATTTGCTCTTTTTACCTTCATAAGCTGGTGAGGTGGTGAGCATTGCTCAGCTCGCCTCTTTGGCAGGACGACCTGTTTCTTCATGTCAGGGCAGCAAGCCTGTCACTTTCCAGCTACAGGGCAACAAGTTGACTCTTTCTGGAGCTCAAATCCACCAGGTCTCAGCAGCTTCTCCACGTCCCATTCAAGGTGAATAAAAACCAGAGCTCTCATTACAGGAATGATTCAAACAATCACAAATCGGCAAGTAAAATGTGAATTGGATGCTGACTGGCTCATATTCACCCTGCAGGGAATGTGATGCACGTAGTGTCCAGTGGGGTGCAGCGCCATCTCATTAGTCAGCCTGCTCCTGTGGCTGTTCAGGGTCCTGTCAATGTTAACTCCGCAAACACCTCTTCTACAGCTCCTGCAAACCGCCTTATTCACAATGTCTCAGCACAAGGTCTACATGGCTTTTTTTTTGCGAGTACAAACACAGCAAAGTGATTGCTGTAAGTGTAGAAAATAATGAAATAACCATACGAATAATTTCATTGGTAACCATTTAGGTAAAAATACTGTAAAGAAGGCCAGAAGAGCTAAAACAACAACTAAATAGCAGAGAAAAGTATACCCTTAAGTAGAACATGGTGGCTTAAATAGCTTTTATAGAAATTTTAAAATCTTTAAACTAGGAATGCACTCAAAAATTAGTCTGATATCGTGTGTCAAGTCTGCCATTGGGAAGGGGTAGGAACTTTTATTTCTCAAGCGTTCTTTTTTTCATTCACAATAAATCTATAAGCCTATGTCAGAATTAAGTTAAATTGTTTAAAAAGTTAAAAAGTCTTTCTATGAAACCTTCAATCTATCTTGAGTCTGAGCTGACAGACTTTCTTTTTATTACAGTACCCTCATCCATGGTGAGCAGCGCAGGTGTTGTGAAGATCGTTGTGCGACAGTCCGCAGGCAAGGAGGGTGGGCCTGTGCCCACCCTGGCAGTGGCCCCTTCCCCTCGTGTCACTTCTTCCCTTTCCCTTCATGCCCATGCCAACACCCTTGTCACACCTGTCAGAAATACTGGCCCCCTGCAGATTGCCCAGCGCACCCCTGGTCCTGCTACTGCCCACTACACCATAGCTCCTCCCAGAAACCCAATTTCAACTCCGAGCCAGCCCCAACCCCCTTGCCCTGTCCTCAAGGTAGTGCAGACTCCACCTTCTATCACAGAAAAGCCAGGTGAGAGCGCTGGTCTTCCTGCATGTCAGACCTTTATATTTCCAAATATGTTTTCCCAATTTGATGCAAGCTCGTATCTGATATTGGTGTGCCTTACATCATGTAGGAGGCATTGGCAGGGAAGGTTTTGAACCAGATTAATCATAGATAACCCTCGGGTATATTTTAGGTACATTGCTCTCATTATAGATGCTTTTGCTCTATACACTTGAATACGCCATTTAACTTTTTTTCTGTGAGACGTTGTTAAAAATATAGGCTAAACAGAATGACACTGTATTTAAATAGAAAAACTGATGATATATACCAAAAATCTGTTAAACCTTCCTGCTCCAAACTGGCAAAGATTTTTTGAAGGAACAGTTTGGAAATCATTATGTATTAACAATGAGAAATATTTTGTTTTTAATCTCTTATAACTACAGCACCAGCAAACACCTCACCCACTCTCCCAAAACCTGTGCCAACACCACAAGATGGAAGAAACAGTCAAACACCAGTCACCATAAAGTCCAGGCCTAGTGCAGGTGCAAAGGTCTATCCTCCACCAAGAACAGTGCCGCATCCACCTCCACGTTCCCCATTTTACATGGTGAGCATTACTAGCCACAAGTACCTTTGTAGGTTGTATTGACTGCGTCCACTTACCTACTTGTACTTACCTAAAAACAGTATTTGCTATAAGATCACTTGCGCACAAAATGTTGGAGTACCATTGATATGTAAATCCACAGAAATGCGTAAATTAATACATAATTAAAGTATGTGTTGTTGCACGTTTACAAAACATCAAAGGGTATGTATTGTAATATATATTATGACCACTTTGTGGCGCCACTTTCCTTATGACAGATTTTTGATGTGCCTGTGATAAATATTTTCTGTATAACGTTTTTGACACAAATAAGGTTTTTTTGTTTGTTTTTTTAATGCCACGTTGAGCAAAATTAAAACAATTAAACTGACCAACTCTTTACCTGTTGATAACAACATTTTGCTGACGATTTTCTTAACAGCCATGGCTTGCAGAGAGCCATAAAAAGCAACACGACAGTCGACTGGACTTCATCTTTAGAGTCAATGAGCAACATTGCGCAGCAAAACCCGTCTACGGCCAGGAGCTTTTGAACATTCTCAGTTTTCTTCATGGTCCATGTCCTACCCCTGCACCTGTATCTCCTGAGGGAGAATGGAAACGGTCAGGTCACAGCGCCTGTCTTTTATCACAGTTTCCAAACAAATGTAACTACTGGTCTCAGAGCCAAGCTGTGAGAAAGGACATTCATGCCATTGAAGAGAGGCTGGAGATGATCTCTGATGTTATAGACAGGTAATCATCTTATTGGTTTTCTTTCACTGAATAACTAATGAGGAAAGGCTGTTTAGTATGTATTGAAAAACATTTCTGATTAATTTTTCTGCATTTATGCTAGGTTTGCATTTGTGATTCCTCCTGTTGAAGCTCCTCAAATTTCCATGCACTGCTGTCATCCTCCACCTTCTTTGAGCCACAAGCAAGCAGTCTATGGCTCCACGCTCACAGGTCAAGTAGCGCCGCTCACTCGCTGCCTCCATCGTATACAATGTAACACCAGGACCCAGTTCCCAGATCTGAGGCTTATACAGTACGACTGTGGTAGGTAGCCTAGATGCTTAAAAGTATTTCCTCTGGAGGTTCAATCGATTTTTAATCCAGTCACATGCTACCATGTGCTCCTTGTGTTCAGGTAAGCTTCAGACTCTACACACATTACTCCGGAAGTTGAAGACAGGAGGCCACCGGGTGCTAATCTTCACTCAGATGACAAGAATGTTGGATGTGCTGGAGCAGTTCCTCAACTACCATGGACACATCTACCTACGCCTTGATGGTAGCACCCGTGTAGAACAGAGACAGGTGTGTAGTATGGATATTTCAGGTCAAGTTACTGTGTGAAATTCTCATTTCACATATTAAAATAAAATAAAACCAGGTAAAATAAAGTCCTAAAATGTCTCCTTTTGACATATTTCTTGTCCACCTTATTGAATATCTCTCTTAGGCCCTAATGGAGCGATTCAACGCAGATCGTCGCATTTTCTGCTTCATTTTGTCAACTCGTAGTGGAGGTGTAGGGGTAAACTTAACGGGGGCTGACACTGTCGTATTCTACGACAGTGACTGGAACCCTACCATGGACGCCCAGGCTCAGGACCGATGTCATCGTATCGGCCAAACACGAGATGTCCACATCTACAGGTGAGAGTGTTGGTGTTTAAGGTTGAATTCATGTCAACTGCGACATATACAACCATATAATCCAGATTCTAATAAGAATTGAGACTGGATAGTGTCTATTACAATTCATCATGTCCTGAAGTTTTGAGTTTTGAACTGTGTGGAGAAAAAGAATTGGAAGAAATATTCTTAGTTCTTAAAATTATGTTTGAAGGCTAATCAGTGAACGTACAGTGGAGGAGAACATTTTGAAGAAGGCCAATCAGAAGAGGATGCTTGGAGATATGGCCATTGAAGGAGGAAACTTCACTACTGCCTTCTTTAAACAAGTAGGAGTTGGTAGTTAAATGGATTCTGTGTACATTATACATTTTTGGAGTATGGTTATGCAACTAAATTTTGTTTGTTGTGCCTTATGTTTCCTCTAGCAAACAATACGAGAGTTGTTTGATGTGAACGATGGAGAGAGAAGAGAGGTGGCAGTTGAGCTGGCTTTGCCTCAACCAGAGGAAGAGGATGGTGTCAACAAGCAAAGCACCACTATTCTGGAACAGGTGTTAAATCACTACTCAAAACAAACAAATCCATCTTTTTTGTTATTGATATATCAAATTAAAAGTAAATATTGTATAAATTAAATAATGAAATTGAAGTGAATTAATCTTAATTATTCAAGTTATATTAATGTGACGCTATACAGCCTGGGTTTACCAGAACCAGAAACTGTTGAACAGACTTGAGATCTGACTTTGTGTATGAACTATACAAACTATTGTTTTAGCAAAACATATTGCAATGATACTGTGTGTAAACATGTGGCAAATACCATTAGAGATTATCATTCCTGCAACTCCTTCTTTATAGGCCCTGTGTCGAGCAGAGGATGAGGAGGACATCGTAGCAGCTTCTCAGGCCAAAGCAGAGCAAGTGGCAGAACTGGCAGAATTCAATGAGAACATTCCACTGGATGATGGAGGGGAACAGGAGGAGGTGGAGGAGCTATCAAAGGCAGAGCAAGAGATAGCAGCTCTGGTTGAGCAAGTGAGTAATGGTGGAGGTCTTGATTGGCTTGATTGAAATTTGGATAATTTGGACTCCTGTTTTTTTTGTAGCTCATTTTCATGCAATCAATGTATTGATGATGTTGGATTTATTTATTTTTGCCTACTTCTAGCTCACACCCATTGAACGCTACGCCATGAACTTTCTGGAAGCCTCTTTAGAAGATGTTTGCAAAGAAGAGTTAAAACAAGCAGAGGTAAACATGATAGATGATTACCTATAGTGTTTAAGTTTAGGCCAGTATCCAAATAACACTGTAACGAACGAAGTTTAGGCCAGTATCCAAATAACACTAATGCAACTATCAAAACAACTGATGAAGTCTTGTATTTAAGTTTAAATTCACTTTGTGATATACTGTTACGATTTCATAAAGTTTGAATGGCATTGCTCTGAATATCTTTTCTGTTTTGTGTGACCAGGAGCAGGTAGAGGCTGCCAGAAAAGGCCTGGACCAGGCTAAGGAGGAAGGCCTCAAGCTTCATGCTTCATCTGATGATGATGACAACGACTTTTTATCATCATCCACTTCTGTAGAGCCTGCACAGCCAGTTGCAATTCGTCGTGGACGTAAACCCAAGGATAAAGACAAAATTGTTACCTCTACCAGGACCAGTGGTCGGCTTCGTGGGGCCTCCCCTGAAATTGAGCCAGAGTCTACAACCCCTAAGGAAGTGCCTGAAAGACTCCGTCTAAGAGGACGAGGAGCTGCTGTGTCTAATTCCCCATCTCGTTCAGACATTCTTAAAAGCTCCTCCTCAACTTCAAAATCGTCAAAAGCTTCATCACCAGCCAGAGACAACCAGTCTACCAAAACTAGGACTCTATCAAACCGTTCCCATACCAGTCCAGTGCCTTCCCCTCCTACAGTTTCTCCTTCTGGAGGGAAACAACATTTTATTGTTGGATCTGAGACTAAAAGCCCTAAAGCCAGCATCGAGCCAAAAGATGTACAGGCCGAGGGCAGACCATCTGAGTCATCCCCAGCATCCACCAGTTCTGTGGACCATCACTTAAAAGATGATGAAAGCAAAGACCACAGTGCCATGTTTCCCCCATCCACTGGCATCAGGTCACCTCGTAAACGTCAATCAGCAGATGGTGAAGTCTTGCGTGGCCTTGTTGAAGACTCCCCATCAGCCAAAGTCCTGCGTAAGCTTCCAGGGAGGCTTGTTACAGTGGTGGAGGAAAAGGAGCCAAAAAAGAGGAGGCGGCGTGGAAGTGGCACTGGAGGTATGGGTTCATCGGAGGACACAGCAGTGGAGGAAACCCTTGCTGGATCTGGTGATGAGCCTAACCATAATAACAGCAATACATCACCAAGTGATGACGGAAAAGCTAAAGAGGCACTAAACAAATCGCCTCAGAGCCAAAACACTACTCCAAAATCACTGGTACATCCACCGCCTGTTAGAGCTTACCCTCCATATTCCCCTCCTCATCTTTCTCCTGACATGCCGGTGCTGAGAAATCTTCCTGTGCGACGCAGGTTAGAAACGGAATCTCGTATGGCTGCTCAGCTTGGAGAGCAGCAGCATCTGGGGAGAGGACGGGGAGCAACCCTGAAGAAAACAGATGCTAGTAAAGATGCTACATCCACCTCAACGGAGTCTGGTGTTTTGACCCCTTTAAAAAGAAAGAGGGGTCGGCCCCCTAAGGCAGTCCTAAAGTTACCAGAGTCTGACAACACATTGACTTCCCGGCCACAGGTCACCTCACCAAGTGAGGAGGAAAACCCTTCCCCTTCATCAAAGCCTAAAAAAGGTCGTCTGAGTGTTTCAGATAATGTCAGTGAAGAACAGAGCTCTAAATGTATTGACTCAGCTGCTGGATCTGATGTAATAAAAATGGACCATGGCAAACAACTTCCAGAGATTCCTAAAGCTGATCCACTGAGCTTGATTCAGGCCTCAGAGTCTACCACTGCTAATCAGACAGACAATAAAATTCAGGGTTCTCCAGTTTCAGCTACTAATTTTAAAAAAACCCTGGAGTCCACAACAAAAGAAACAGAGGATCTTATCTCGGTCTCAGAACCACCTGACAAAACATCCTCAAATCAAATCCAGCCAGCTTCATTTCCAAGCTCAAATACAACATCTGCTCAGGTTTCTGCAACCCCATCCACATCTGTCACTTTGCCAGACACTGCTGCCCTGACTACCACAAGTCCACTGCCAACTGTCAGCACTGGCTTATCATGTCCACCTGCTGTAGAACCAAAACCTTTTACCTCTGCAGTTCATGTAGACCCGAAAACTGCAGATTGTACAGCTGTGAAAACAGAACTAGAAGCTGCCAAAACTCGGACAGTTTCCACATCAGTTGCTTCAGCACCACCCACAGAGACACTTAAAGTATCTCCACCAGCAGCATCTGTTCCCGATCCTATCGTAATGTCATCAACAGCAGGTGTGGTGTCAGGAGCAACAAATAAAGTATCAGCGCCTTCAACTATATCTGCTACAGGAGAGGTTTTAACACAGGTCACTGAACAAACAGTCAACATAGTTGCAGAAACATCAATCCCAGCTGTGATTACATCAAATCCAGAAGAATCCTCCGCAAGGCCATCAACAAATGTTGCATTTACAGAAACAATTACAGCATCTGCTGTGGAAACAGTCCAAGCTTGTCCATCACCAAACCTAGTAAACACAGTGTTAAAAGGTCAACAAACAGTTTCAGACTCTTCACTGACACCGGTAAGTGCAGAATTCACATCATCAGTAGATACAGTCCCATCATGTCTTGTCCAAACAGGGCCAGATACCAATATCCCTTCCAAGCAATTGCAAAAATTGCCAGAACAAACAAAGACAGAAGATACTGCAGCAGTATCTTCCCCTGTACAGTCTGTATATTGTATTCCTCCTCAAATGTGCGCCCAGAATGTGGACACCACAGAAGCAAAACTGGATAATGTGATCTCGTCAACAGCCTCAACAGATCTTGTCACAGTAGAAGAAAAATCTAATAACACTGTAACATCCCCAGAAAAGACTTTTGACACTTCATCGCGAATAAATACAAATGCAGATGCCACACAAGATGTACACGTTACCACTACACCATCCTCAGAAATGTTACCTACCTCTAGTTCCACAACTGCTGTTGAAACCTCTCATGTATCCATTACCACACCTTCTTCTGCTTCAGTAACTACCACAACAGGTGCTTCAACAAAAACAGAATCCTTTATTTCCAGCCTGTCACAAAACTCTGCAGGCCATGGTGCTTCTCTAGAGGTTCCTGAATTTGCTCAGAACAAATCCTCGTCCAAGATGCCCATTTCTGCCCCTTCTAATGTTTCATGGTACAAGCCATCTACAGAGTCAGTACAGGAGGAGTCTGCATCTAAGAGTGACATAAATCCAAAAGAAATACAAACAGGAACATTGGAAACTAACACGAGGACCAATGAGGAGGGAGAGGAGGATGAGGATAATGCCAATAAGCAAGAAAAGACAAAGTCTATACCAAAAAGGAGGAGGTTGGAAAGTTCATCTGTAACCAAACAAGTTGAGTCAGAGAAGGAGGAAGAAGGTGAATGTTCCAGGAGTAAAACCAATTTACAAGAGGAAGCTGAACTATCAGAGGCAGAAGAGACTATTGAAGACCAGTCTCTTCCCAAACACAAAAGGTCCTTAAGTCGGCAGAGTAGCCAGGAGTCTACTTGCTCCTCATCACCATCATCTGGGGCTTCTACATCTGCTCTCACTCGTCATTCTCACCACAAGAGAACCTATGAAAACAGACATCCTGTCAAGAAGAGGCGAACTGAGGTCTCTACTGAAGCAGCGAGTGAAAAGAAGATGAAAGAAGATAAAGAGGAAGGCAGTAAAACAGCTCTCAGTTCCTCCTCCTCCTCCCAGAAAAGGCGTTCCAGGTCTTCATCCTCCTCTTCTGACTCTGACGATAGCAAAGGCAAAAAAGAGCATCTATTTACGCGCTCAGCCAAGCAGCGCAAGGTACAAGATCAGGAGAAGGAGCGAGGAAACGCCAGGTCTGGAAAGAAACCTGCATCCAGCACTGACAGACATGCCTCAAGCAGAGCCAACGCATCCACTGGTGGAGAGTCTGGCAGTGATACTTCATCTGTCAGGGTCACCAGAAAGTCTTCAGGATCTCGGTCTTCACAAGATGGCAAATGCCAGCTAAAAAGCTCCCCCCCAGCACCTGTTGAACCCGAGGTCCTTGGGAAGAGATGCTCGGCACTTAACGCAGCAGCCAAACTTCTTGCAATGAAAGGCAGAGTGGACACCCCAGGACACACTCCTCGGAAAGATTCTGCAACTAAGTCTGCAGGGACAACACCTGCCTCCTCCTCTTTCCCAGATAAGAACCAAAAACCTAAAAACAAAAGTGTACCAGCTTCTTCCCAGACTAATTCTGTAACTAATAATAAAGGACCCGACACCAAACCTTTAACAACAACCACCCAGTCAAGTCGCTCTCCTTCCCGCTCTACCAGACAGTGTCCAGGTTCTCTGGTTCCACCACTGGACCTAGAGTTCAAGAGATCAAGGTCTGAAAAAAAGGAAAGAGGAACTAGGAAAATGTCAAGGAGCAAAGAGGGTGAGGCTGATGCCCAGTCTTCTTCTAGAGGTCACAGCGCCTGCAGCAGCATGAGCAGCGACGGTGAGGCTGATGTCGGTAGACGCAGCAGCAGAAGTCGCAGCAGCAGCAACAGCAGCCAACGGACTCGTAGCATCAGCTCTCGAGTGATGGAACACAAGGAGTCTGGTTCCCTAGCCACTTCCTCGGGCAGTGAGAGGGATACAGACCGCAGCTCAGATCGTGCAAAGAGTAAAGACAAGCGGGAAAGGCAGGGTCAAAAGATGGATAGTGGAAAAGGCAGAAAAAGATCTCTGAGACTCTCACAAGAGCTAACAAACAGTTCGGGAACCGAAGGGACACCAGACAGAGTGTTGCGCAGCGTTGCAGCACTTGCTGCCGTACAGGCCAGGTCACCAGCTGCAAGCACCCGCTCCTCTTCAAGTCAACTTCATCGTAACAAGACATGATGGCTGAGCCTAAAGGAAGAATTGGAAGTAGCAGTGTTGTGGCAAAGCATGAAGCAAGAGCATGTCTAGACCTGCCAGGGTTACTGCTTTGTCAGCACTCTAAAGAAGTGTGAGGGATCGGAGTGCCGCACAAGTCAGAGACCTCCCTGTCTCTTTTGAGTCATTTTTCCTATCCAGTAGGAAATGGTCAGTTCACCTTTTGAGGGAAGGCTTGTTGATAATGAGGATAACTGAAGATCTGTAACACCATCACCAGTAAACAGATGACATAAGTGGATGAATTCACACACAAGGACATTAGCTTCCAGGTTTGGCAATGGTGAGGGGTTAGCTCACATTATGTACTGTAATCATTTGGACTGGAACACTCAGATCTTACATGTTAAGATGGCATTATACAGCACCCCTTTTTGGGTCTATACATGAAGTCATTTTACGTGACACCTACGAGTGACCCATTGTGTTGTGAGTTGGAAGTTTTAGTATGTTTGGTGTGGGAGAGTTCATCAACTGTCCTGACTATTGTTTTTCAGTGTAGTCAGTGGATAAGTCATGCTTTTCTTTCTTTTTTTTTCTTCCGGGGTAAAAGGAAGAGAACAGATCTGTCAATGTGATCTTTTCTGCACTATGCTGGAGCTGTTGGGCCCTTTTCCATGTTGACTTCTGATGTTTGTTTTTTTTTCTTTTAATCCAGCCTTGTATTTCTCATTTGCACATATGGCCCTAGGGCCTCTGGCTACATTGTCTGGTAATGTGTGTCGTTTTTTTTTTCTTTCCTCAACATCAACTTCAGTAAATTATTCGGGTCCTGCTTCATCATAATATAACGCCAATTTGAAGTTTCAAATTGTCTCGAAGACACCTGGATGGGAGAGGAAAAAAACATATCCTCCCAAAGGTGGTTATTGTCATGTAATTATATTGTAAGGGCAATTAAATGTTAATGAAATTATTAGAGTGCCTCTTTGGCCAAATGGGTTTGAACCTCTGATTGCCTTGTAAAGCACCTGTAGAGGGCTGCTCAGCTTCTTTCAATATTAAAAAAAAGAGGGGAAAAAATGATAGACATCAAGATATACGTGACTCAGCTAATAAATCATCCCACCACTTGATTGCTTTGTCTAAGAAAAAGAAAAAAAGAAAAAAACTTGGAAAACAGATTGCAAAAAGTTACTGGTGCAGTTCCAGATTGTAAATTGTCAATTTACTTTTTGCAGAACTTATATTTGGGGGTGGGAGAGGGCAGTAGTAAATGTTGATTGTCTTATTTTTGATTTGTCTCATTTCATTTGTTGCATTCCTTTTATCCCTTGTAATTCCACATTATTTTACTTGAACTTTAAGACAATTACAGTTGAATAAAAAGACCAAAAAATTTATGCCAGTTATCATTGTGTTACAAATTTTGTTCAGCAGTGATTGGAGAAAACAAAAGTCAACATGCAGGGAATATAGGAATACTTTTATTTTAAAAACAATCTACATTAAAACAATAGGGGTGAAGAATTTAATAGTCATAAAATGATGCAGTAGCAGCTATCCCAGTTTGACAAAGGTTTACTTTTTTTTCTTTTTTACATTTTTCTATTGCTACACTGTGGTGCAGAGCAGGTCTGAATGCTCTGTCCTGCTTCAGGACTTTGTTTTAATGAAAATCAACAAGTAACCATTAAGGCACAAGACTTTAAGTTATGTGAGGAAAAATAAGTCAAATATTATGTTTCAGGTGAATCCAAGACTAGGTGACTAAGTGGAAGCACTTCTTCTCTCAACCAGGTTAGTGCACATCATAATTTTCTGCTTAATAATAATAAAAAAAACAGATGGAAAAAGAAAAACCACTATGTTGCAAACGTTTCACAGCAGTTCACACAATGTTTGACTTTTGTATGAATACAAACTGGTAGAATAGGTAACAAATGGGTAGTTGGACTTGAAACTTGACTGCACCTCCGAGTCACTTGGGTAATTTTATTTGTCCATGAAAAGAATTTGATTTCATGCTCCATGTGTTGGCAGTGTGAAAATTCAAGTTAAAAACAATCATCTGCATAAAATGTGACTTCTCAGCAATATATATTATCTACAATATGGTTTATACACACAAGTTCAATTGATAGGTGTGTTTTTGTGCCTCAAATCCATTGAAAAAAAAAAAAACAACAACACAAATGTAACAAGAATCTACAAACATTTTTCCTGAGTACAGTATGTTCAGCGCCAGTGTCAGGTTCAATACTGCATTGTGCTTTGCTCCCGGCCACTTTCCCCCCTTTTTTCCAAAGCCAAAGAGGAAGTGGCACAGACCCAACAGTTTGTATGGTCATAGTCCAAAGTCTGACGAGTAAAGGGAGAAGAAGGAACACTAACCAACAACTCTGCCTTCGATGTGAAGTCAGCAAAGCAGGCAAAATTGTTAACATTTTAAATTTCAATTAAAAAAAGAGAGCACATCTCTTCTTAAAAATGAAAAAAGAACTAGGAAGTTGAAAGAACATGAAATGCAAAAATTAGGTGATAGGTGAAGTTCTGACATCTCATGGGCTCATATTTACAAGAGAGCGGGAATTATTTTAAATCCCCTGACATGATGAATGAATCCTGTTGCTGCTGTCTTACAGGTGTTAGGTGCCGAATGTGGCGACCAACGAGATGACTAAGATGAGGATTAAGATAGCCAAACAGATGGCAATCCATAGCTTTTTCTGAAACAAAGAGAAGGCATTCATTACCACACAAGGAAAATTAGATCTTAATGCCATTTTATACCCAAGTGTACCTCTGACTTCACATTGTATGACTCCTTTGCTTTTGGACACATTCTGCACTCCTGTTACCTAAAGTTTCCCTTTTACTGTCTTTTGCATTTTTGTGTGCTTTAGTAAACATACCCTGCGTGCTTTTTGCTGATAGGTGACTGCTTTTTCTACGTTGTCCTTGGCTTTCTCCACATAGTTAGTAGATTGATTGATGTTCGCTTCAACCCGATTAACCATCTCACCCTGCAGGGGCAAATTTGATAACAAAGGCCTGAACCATTCGCTTTAAACAAAAAACAAAAGTTTGAACACAAGAAACCTCTGCAAATGTTCTTTTACCTGAGCCTCCACCTCCATGGCCAGATACTGGAACATGTCATGTAGATCTCTGATGCTCCGCTCCAGCTTTATGATCTCATCGTGTCTTGACTCGATCTCATTTAAAGCCTGCTTCGTAGCTTTAGCATCACTCAGGATCTGAACATAGCAAAAAAACAATACAAAAAAAAGCAATGTGTTATTGGCTGTAATTTAAAAGTGAGAAAAAATAACTAAACCTACAGACATTCTACATATAATATAATAAATCAATCTGTTAATAGAAATAAATTGTGTAAAGTGTAAACTGAAATTCAAAATTAATTGAAAAATCAAAAGTAAGAATTGTTGGACAAAATGCTATTAACATTGTTATAAGAATATGTATAAATGTATATAAAATATAAAATGTCACAATGAGAATCAGTCATAATACTGTACTTTCATATTTTAAAAAAAGCAAGGTTTTCATGTAGAACACAGGAGGGCAGTAGATTCCATCTATAAGCCATTTTGACATTTAAGAATATCTGTGAGGCACAGGTTTTCCCCATTGCATTATACTTAACAAGCTAGATTGAGCAGTAGAGGTATCAGAACAAGCCATTTTTACATTCCATTAAAGACACCACTGTTTCTTTTAGTCCCTAAAATTATCTGCAGTGTTTTTCAGGAAACACTTTTCACTTTGGCTTTTACTGCAGTCTGACTCAGAGCACCTCCCTTCAAATTGAAACATTTCCTGTGCTCACGTTTTGAGTGAAAACATCAGTCTGGCCACTTTCAAGCATTGTATCCAGCTCCTCGTCTGCCACGTTGGTCCCAGCTGTAGCAGAAAAACAGAACTGTAAATTAACATCACCTTCCCTTGTTTACTTTAGTATCCATTATTACATATATTCTGTTTGGAAATGCTGACGTGTAATTAAGGAACAATGCAACAGTGTATGATATAAATAAAACATAGGTGCTTTCTAGAAAGTAAATGTGAGAGAAATATATGAATTTAAAGTGAAAACCACAATGACACTACTAAGACAGGAAACAATTTAAGGGTGAAGTGATGAATTAAATGGAGAGAGTGTTGGGTAACACAACAACCACAAGAGAGAACAAATCAGTTCTTCTTTTTGTGCTCACTGATTTTCAGTTGCCTCTGTAATCTCTCCACATTTCGGTCTCTGTACTGGGACTGGATGGTGTTACAATGACCCATCAGCTCCACAAACTGTTTGGATAGGACGCCATGCTGATGGAAGGAGAAAACGTTTCAAGATTCTGTTTTCTTAAAAGAGTTGCTATAAAGCCAAGAGTTTGTCCAAACCTGTGTGCGCTGCATCCGAATGGTTATAGAAACATATTTCCCATCCTCCTCTCCCTTCTTGGGTTCAATACCTGTGGAAAAAAGTGAGTTTAGTCTACCTTAAATAAGAAAGAAAAGAAAATCACAATTTTTATGGAGACTTACTCTTTAGCTTCTTCTGGATCTGGCCTGCCAATGTTTTTATTTCATCACGCAGAGTTTGTAACTCTTTCTTCATACCTAAACAAAATAAAAGCAGCAAACTTTGGCTACTAAGTCTTTTTTTTAATGAATACTTTAAACATTTTTTAAATTATCTGCAGAGCGAAAGAACTTACTCTCTTCTGGCAGTGCCTGGCCGAGCACCGTTTTCTGTTTATTCTCAAGATTTGACACCAAACTCCTGAGACTCTGCAGGCCTTCGAAGATTTCTTGAGCCTATTTGTGACAGTTGGTTAAAAAAAGAAAATAATTTACTCTAAAAGCTTGAAGACTGTAGTAGTAGCTGTAGCAGTAATTGTAGTTTTGACCTCTCAAAACTATGTTTATTGCCTCCCAAACTTGTCTTTGTTATTCTAAAAATATTACCATCCTAAACTAAAGGATAAAACTAGAAGCAAAATCTACTTTAGGATAGCAGAATTCTACAATCACCTATGACCTGTAAACAATGATACTGTACAAACAAATACCTGAATAATCTGTCTATAAATTTCCATATGTGGATTGAAGTCCTCCTCAATGTTGGTTCCTTAAGTGGAACTAACACCTAACACCCAAACTACATTTGTTTCATGTGGAATTTAATGTAGAATTAACAAGGTTGTATTTACTCGTGTACATTTTAGAAATTAAACTTTGGTGTTATTTCACCTTAAAAGGTTTTGTAAAGCCACACAGAACCAACAGAGACAGTCATGTTGACAAAACAAAATGCAGGGAGCACGAAAATATCAGAGGAGACTGTGTTGACAAGAGTAAAATATACCTTTTTCAGGATGGCTTCTCTCTCCTTGTCCTCTTTGACTGAGGAGGCTCCAGGTTTCATGAGAGCTCTGTCTTCCTCCTCTTCATCTGAAGACTCTGCTTTCTGATGCAAAAACACAGCCATTCAACCATTATATTAAAAAACGTTTCTTTTTCTTCTCAATATAATAAGAAACATAGCTTTTAACTTTGAATCCTTAAATCAGTGTAGTCAAATCACCTCTACAGCTATAAACGTATGCAGAAAACGCTTTTAACCCACAAAACACAAATATATATTTCTGGGTCGGACCTTCAGATTCTACTGTTTGTTTTCATTATATAACACAAAATGTCCTAACACAAGTGTTAGGACATTCTTTATTAAATACATTTTACTTGGACGGAAGCTACTAAACTACCATTTGTTAAAATAGCATGTTCTCTAGTTTACAGAGTTTGATATGCGTTTATTTTGCAGATTTGTACTATTTGTCAAATTATTAGACAAAACATGGACATTTAATTCTGTTCGTGTAAAGCAGCAGATCGACTGTAGCAGCCCTGCCCAGTCCCCGGCCTGGCAGATCATGAAACGGAAGTTGATCATTATTTATGGCTGAAGTTGACATTTAACCGCTGAAAACACTTAAACATTAACTTCTGAAAGTTCCGCAACTTTAAAATAATTTCTTAATTAAACTTGTCACAGCGGTGTAGGTAAGCTAAAAGACTCTCACTCTTAACAGGGAGTGAACTTGGTTAGGTTAGCACGGTAATGCTAATAGGTAACTTTTTAAACTCACATTTCCCAGATCTTTAGTTCGGTCCCGCATCTTTCAGGATGAAGCAGATTGACTTCAGGAAGGCTGCTCTTACAGGAAAGAAGCTGGTACGTTTTTATCAATCTCGAATAAATGTAAAAACCTTGCTATAATAGTAATGCATTCAACAAGTAACCCTCAGACGCGACACTGCGTCTTTTGCGCAATTGGCAGCTGAGTAACCGGGTAAAAGTCGAATTACTGCCCCCTTTCGCTCATTTCTGTGTCTGTTTTAAAATTTAAGTTTTTAACGTTCCGGGTGTGTTTGGTTTTGCTGCAGCTGCTGTCGGTGTAATTACAGTACAGTCTTTGCGCTTTGTTCTCGTTGTTTTAGTTTTCATTTGGTAAATATATTTTGTATTCTTTATACTATGTATTATTGTTGTCCACGCTGTGAGAATTTGAGCTTTGCAGTTGCGTAACGTTAGCAAAACACCTTTTAAAGGTTCATACGCGGAGCAGCCATCTACGTATACGTCAAAGTCAAGGTATGTTTATTTTTTTTACAACAAGCCATAAAAAGAACAAGAATAGACATTAGACACACCAAGCAGACATAATAATAACATTAACAGTATTGTGTTGTTATGCCCCAGAGCAATATTCACAAGGATAATGGCAGGTGAAATAAATGTAAATGTAAATTCTGCCCAGCTCATTGGTTGGTTAGTTAAGCCTATGCCCTGTGCTGCTTATTGGAAACATTAGAATCATATTAAAAACTGCTGTAAAGTCTTTCTGATGACACTCTATCACTAGTCAGGGTCTGATCAGCCCTGCAGCAGTTGGGTGGCTTAAACTAGGTCAGTTGGAGTTTTATGTGCGTTTACTGAGGTTATGTGCCAAAGGTAACAGCCAATGAAATTCCAAGGATGAGGAGGAGGATGGCTAAACAGATGGCGATCCATATCTTCTTCTGTCAAGCAAACCAAACAAAAAGAGAATTAGTGTGTCATTTAGTTGGCTCATATTTTAGGAAAGACAGGCTAAAAATTAAAGTGTCCCTTTAACTGTTTGTGAATTTTGTCTGTGTGTGTTTGAAACCAAATCTTACTTTGCGTGCTTTATTCTGAAATTTGATGGCCCTTGCAGTGTTGTCCTTGGCCTTCTCAACATAATCAGTAGACTGGTTGATGTGGGTTTCAATCCTGTTGACCATCTCTCCCTGCAGCATGTGTATAACACTCATTCAGACACTTTGTCAAACCTTGTACAACCTGAGGAACAGCTATAAAATGCTGTTACCTGAGCGTCCACCTCAAGAGCAAGATACTGGAACATGTCATGCAGGTCTCTGATGCTCCGCTCCAGTTTTAGGATTTCATTGTGCCGAGACTCTATCTCATTAAGGGCCTGTTTTGTGGCTTTAGCATCACTTAAGATCTGTACACAGCCAAAGAGCAAACAAGCAAAACCAAGTCCATCTGAACTATTTACATTCTGTATTGGTGTGCTTTTAAAGCTTGTTCAGTTTGAGCAAAAACTGAAGGTAAAACAGGCCAAACTCTTTAAAGTGAGTTTTTTTCCTAATTATTTCAACTGTAATTCTCTTACTATCACCAACAGTGAAGAGTTCTTTACTCACATTGTGTGTGAAAACATCAGTCTGACCGCTTTCCAGCATTGTGTTTAGCTCCTCTTCAGTCACATTGGCCCCAGCTGCAGTGGTGATGGAACAGGAGATAATTGAAAATGGATGTCAAGGCTTAGTGTTAAAACATCCTCTACCAGAAGTTTTTTTAATGTTTGCTTTGTATGCTTTGATAGTAGTGTTAGAATGAAGTGTTAGGCAACAATGTTCAGTAGAATAGGAGAAAAGAAGAAGTAGGTGAAAACATCAAGGGAAACTAAAAGCTCCCAGAGTACAACCCCATTCCAAAATTCCATGACCACAAGAAAACTAAATCACATCTGAGCTTCAATTCTCACTGATTTTCAGCTGTCTCCGAAGTCTCTCCACACTGCGGTCTCTGTACTGGGACTGGAGGGTGTTACAGAAACCCATCAGCTCCACAAACTCCCTAGATAAGACACAATGCTGGAATGCGAAACAAAAATCTATTTTGATTAAGTTGTCAGTTATCAGTCCAGTCACTTCTGCTACAAGAAATGATTTCACCATGTGGAGCATAAATGCAAGAATGAAGGCTCGACCTGTGTCCTTTGTATTCGTATATTTATGGGAATATATCTTCCATCCTCCTCTTCTTTCTTGGGTTCAATACCTGTGGTGAGATGAGAAGTGGAGTCAGTGGCCACGCAAAAGAAACAAAATAATATTGAGCACAACTTTTTACTTCTCATTTAGCAAAACTCACTCTTTAATGTCCTTTGGATCTGACTTGCAAAAGTACTTATTTCTTCCCTAAGTGTCTGCATGTCTGTCTTCATACCTAAAATGTCAGGAAATTAATGGATTCGTCACAACACTACATTTGCATAACCAAGAGATTTGTCAAATTTAATAAGCTGTACTGCAGTCTATTGTTTCACTTTAAATCTGTTATTGTTATTTCAGTTATTCAAGACAAAGTGAAACTCTTACTCTCCTCAGGCAGAGCCTGACTGAGCACCGTTTTCTGTTTTTTGTCCAGTTCACACACCAGAGCCCTGAGACTGTGCAGCCCTTCGAGGATTTCTTTTGCCTAAATAATGGAAAAGTAAGTACTTTAAGGACTTGTTAATTTAAAATGTGACAAAGAAGTCATAGAAATTAGCTTTTTAAGAGAGGATCTTTTCTGACGTGGTCCTGTATCTGTTCTCTAATGTTTTGTTGTGATGGCTTTGGCCTTGTCGTCCGTACATACATTGAAGGATTATTTTTGCTATTTTCTATGTAAAATATTTAAATACAGGCTATTGGAACAGCAGCTTTTGAAAATAGTCAAAGTGACCAATAGAGGCTGGAAGTTGACCAAAAATAATGCAAAAAGGTGCATGATTACACTGCAGATGTAAAGGAAATATTGTCATTATACAGACTGATAAAAATGGTAATTGTTTTTGTGATCTGTAGCTGTTGAAGTCGTATTTTTTCAGAGTATGTTCACATTTTTTAGGATTGCCTCTCGCTCCTTCTCTTCTTTGGCCAAAGGTGTCCCAGGTTTGCTCTCGAGAACTCTATTTTCCTCATTTTCATCAGAAGAGTTAGCATTCTACATTAAGGTAAGCAAAACACCAATGCATTATTAGATATCACGTTACAACTCTGTACTGTCCTCAAAATTGTGATATGGTTAGAAACATTCATCATCTGGAGTCAAACATGATATATTTTTCTGCGTTTTTGTCAAACTTTGTTAACATCTTTAGTTTATTTTCTTCACTGTTGCTATCATTTTATTTATGATATTTTCTTGACATATTTTAAACTCAAATGATATTTGCTCACTTCCCAACTCACATTTCTCAACTCTTTAGTCCGGTCCCGCATGTTAGCTGCTCATGCTGTTATATAGCGGACCAATGTTATCCCATGTCATTGACCTTCAAGAGGCAAACTCTCATGGTGCTGGTTTTAAAGGCTGAGCATTTACTCACTGGCGTCCTGTGTGACACCAGTGTTTCACTGCGTTTGTATATTGAACGTCATTGCTTGTGACAGACTTTGCATAGATATGGGAATTTCTGCCTCTACACGTAGAAAAACTACTGGATTGTTTATCTTTTGTGTACTTGTACTTCAGATGTATTTCCTTTTAGTACCTGCTTTGAAGATCAAAGCCAGCCCCCTCATCCCTTTGAATAAATTAAGGAGTGTTCATGGGAGTTAATAATGCTCTAAACTTGTCTCCTCTTTGGCCACAAGAGGATGCTGTTTATTTGGACAAGGTTTGATCGCGTCTAAGCAGTCATCACAAGCCATCGTTACGAAATCTGCTATATACAGTATACCTAAATAAATAATTGTATCATTTTATTTACAGTAATTAAAATAAAACTTTTGGATTTAAAGATTTGGATAGATTATAGACAGAAAAAAGAGAGGCATTTAACAAAAATGAAAAATCTGATTATACTATTTTAGAGTGCCTGTACTTGGTCAGGTCCAACTGTTGGCTCAAATATTAGAATGTTCAGTAGTTCTCAATCTTTGGTACATGTACCATTGGTGGTACTTAAATGAAACGATCTAAATCCACAGCTGGTAAATATTCTTATAATCCTATTTGGAATCAATTCTCTTTGTGGAGTATTTGGAGACACAAATATTTTGCTTTGTTTTTAATGAATAAGCAAAATTAAGATTGCCAAAGTTTAGATTGAGACATGACTACTGTTATTGACTATGATAAACTACATCTCCCAGAGTGCAACGTAGCTGGCGTCGTGTCGCCAGTGAGCTGTCAGTGGTGGTGGTGAGGGGGGAGGGGGGAGGAGTTGGTCCTCCAGCATCTCCCGAGCATCGGAGCGCAGCGGATGACGGAGACTCATCGACACCGTCCTCATCATCGAAAATGATGTGGAATTAGTTGACAAACATTCGCTATGCACGGACCGGATGTTTAGGAGAAGCGATCACATAGCAGCGCGGAGATCTGACTTCGTTACCATCAATGAGATACACGGAGGAGCTGTGCCGCTTTCGGTGGTAACGCAGAAAAACACAAGATGAAGAAGCAGTTTAATCGAATGAGACAGCTCGCCAACCAAACAGTTGGCAGGTAAGAGCCCGGAACATGGGATATTTGTTATTGACACAGAGCTGGGGGTGGGTGGGAGCTTCACCTACCCCCCTGACTTAAACCAGCT